TGTGTTAGAATAGAATTTTATGCGTTTTCGAAAGGTATTTTCTTTGTAAATAGAAAAATACATTTGACACAACAATATCGACAGTGAACCAAACTGTAAAAAAAAACATCTGAAAACCAGAAAATTTCGATCAACAACATGATAAAATCACACAAAAATTGTAAGCAAACCGCACGAGACTCTCTCGTTAGACAGATAAACATCTGACAATCGTACGTGCGAGTCTCATTTTTACGCGGCTTAAGGTCTCGGGTCGTCACGCGTGTCCACCGTGATAAGTGGTAGGGTAGGTCGTATCATGTGTGTGTGTGTGTGTGTGCACGCATCGGCTGATCCGTTTTTCCAACTCGTCACGAATTCGCGCTTGCGCGCACGCGCACATCTCTCACCTACATTACGTGGTCACTTTTTTTTCTTTGCGATACACCGGTCATACAGTTGACACCGGTCGTCCAGTGAAAGTTGCCCTCCTGGCGTTCGATCGAGGATCGATCGCCGTCTTCAGGACTGGCCGATCGTTCGTTCTTCCCTCACAACGACAGTCTGAAGAAAATTCTAATGAATATGTAATTAGCTAGCTTTCGACAAGGAGAAAAAAAGAAAGGAAATTAAATGTCGGGAGTGAACTATAATAAAAATGTTTTTAACGGGGATTTCTTAATCAAGATAAATCGCTCTATAAAATACAATCCGTAATAAAGTTTTTTTTGGTTTCAAATGCAAAGCGGAGAGGATTCTTCTCCGTGATGAAAGAACTTTCAGTATCTTTGCTTTGCAAAGCGTATATCGCGACGCGTCTTCTTCGAGAAATCGTCTCGAAGATATCTCTTTCTCTCAAATGCTTGTTCGGAATAAAAACGCGCGCCACTCCATCTTTCTCCGATGACGTATGCTTGGTTATTATTGACACGCATGCCAGTCGTCAAGTTCGGCCTCCGCGATGTGTGACGCGCGCGCATTTACGTATGTTCAATTTTTCAAAGAATTCTAAAACAGCGCATATCATCGTCAGACGTTCATAAAAAAAAAAAAAAAAAAAAAGAAATAAACTTATCACACGCACGAAATCCGTCATACTTGGATAGCCTTGAGATCGACCCTCTTGTTTTTCTCCCACACATGTAAATGTGCATGGTAACAATAAGTTGCTGTGCACAAAAATGAGTTTTTGTTTCCATAAATTAATGACTTATCTTGTTTCACGATTTCGGTTGATTGATGATGAGATAAAACGGTCGCGAGGCGCGATGAAAATAATAATAAATCGGGATTAGAGAATATTCCGCTCGACGGCGTGTGAATTGAAGGAGATAAGCCTCATTAGCAAATTCACCGCACTCGCGTCAGCGATACGCGACCCGTCAACGCGCCGGATGTGTTATTGCTTGTAATTTTGATCGCTCCTTTTTTTTCGTCGTTCTTCACCCTCAGGAATATCGCAAAATGTTTCAATTCTGTCACTGTCTTTTTCAGCCGCTCTCTCTCTATTTCACACACACATACAAATTATTACATAATTATTACATAAATATTATGTCTTACATTATTACATAATTATTACATAAATATTATGTCTTACATTATTACATAATTATTACATGATAAGTTACCATAATTAATAATATTTTGCTACAAAGAGTGATTTAAACACATTTACTTACAATAGGAAGGAAGTAACGAAATATGATCGATTTTATCACGTAGCGAATTGTTCTGGCATACTTTGCGTTCACGAATGAATAAATGTATCTCTACACGTGAAGTATTTTATTTGCATTCCCACAAATGAAACGAACGATAACTTTACTGGTAATAAATTAGGAACGTATCTGAATTACTGACTCGGTCACATTTGTGCTGTCGCGCGGTACATCGTTTTGTCTTGTTGTTACTTCGATACGAGACGACGATAAAAAACAAAAACAATCGAGCGAATCGGATGGGATAATTATGTCTGAGAAAAATATCGATGAATAATTTTCATCCTAAGCGATTATACATACTTAAACGCAAATAAAACGTTTTGCGAGAACTTAATTGAACGGATGGATAAGAAGAGAAGATGTTTCTTCACACAGCGGTTATTTTTACTGCTTGTAATAATCCAACGAGATATGCGACTTATCGGTGGCTGACACGCGGGAATGTCGCGAATGCGCAACGAGCGCGCGCGACGGCGACGCGATTACCGTTCCTTCGCTTTTGCAGCTATAGCTCAGCTGTTTGCCGCGGCCTTAAGGGACCGAAATAATCGCAACCTGGCAAGCGCGAGTAGGTGGGCGGCGTGCTATCTGTACCATTTCGTACGCGGAAAGCCGCACCCCGAAATAGATCGCCGGTGGTTAAAGTTATCTCTCTCTCTCTCTGTCTCGGCACTTGTTTAAATTGCGAAAAATGCAACTCGATATCTGATGATAACGGAGAGCGGGAGAGAGAGAGAGAGAGAAAATCTGACACGTGATACCGTGCGTGTTACATTGTGATTGCCATCGTTTCGTCACGCCTCACACACGCGGGACGCAACTGGATCATTTAATAAGCGCGCGATCCTTTCCCCCTGTTTGCTCAACGACAATACGTCTGACAATTCCGAGAAACGTTTTAAACAATAAACTTCGATTCCCTGCGGATTCCCCCGTCGTCGAGAGAAGAGTCGGGTTTTCCCCGCTCTTCGATTGCTTGTTTTACTTTTTTGTGATCTTTTCAATTAGATCTCGACAAATGGAACTTCCGCGAAAGTAATCTCGCTTTTTAAACGGAACGTGTGTCGCAGTTAATTTCTTTTTATTTACAAATTTAATATATTTATAAAATTAAGTGTAACTTAATTTAGTACTTTTACACATGTAACTTTCTGTTGCTCTTTTAAAAGGATGTTAATGTCAAAAGAAGAGCATTCAAAACTGTTTATGTGCGTGATGTTCACATCAGTGTTGAATTAATTAGAAAGAATACGAAACGAGTTTTATATAAGATATACACGAGGAATCTTCAATCTTCTTAAAAAAAAAAAAAAAAATTTGTAAGACCGCTAATCTCCGGAGTATGCACATGTATATTGAGGCGGAGTAAAGAATAATTTCTTGCGAAACAACTTTGTCCGGGATCTTCGTGCGATCTCGATTCTCCCATGTGTCCATGCGTCGTCGTGAGAATCCGAACCAGCTGGCGGTTTCTGTGCGCGGCGGCACAGTAGTGCACGGCCCCGCTCACAATAGGTAGATCGGGCCACGAATCTCTCTCGTCGTCTCGCAGCGAGACGAGAAGAGAGAAGCTAGAGGTATACGTGACGAGATATCCCCGCAGTCGAGAGTAACCAGACAGACACAAAACCGGCCGTCCTTCCGCGCGCTCAGTGAAATTTAAATGAGCGTTCGCTCGCCCGCTCGCTCGCTCCCTTCACAAAACTTTCATATCATGTCTTCTCGCCGCGATTCGACCTTTCGTTCAAGAGACGGTGACGTCCATCTCGTCGAATGAAGGGAACGAGGAAGGGGGAGAAGCGAAGCGGAGAGGCCCGTGTGGCCTCGATACGTGAATGCCCGTGAGAGAATCTCCTCCTCTCTTTCCCCGCGTCCCTTGCCACGATATTACGTACATACATCGCGGCATCGCGCGTGTGGTTGTTGTCTCGTCATCGCTCGTCATCCGCTGGTGCGAAACGGTCGTCGCGGCCTTCCCGGCCACGTGGGTCTCAAACAAACGCCGTCGATTCCTCTATCGCTCGACCTATTTTTTAAATCCGAGTCGAATCTCTTATCGCGCGACTATGCGTTTAATCATCCACGGTTTTTTTGTGACGTAAGAAACCTTATCTCAAGCAGTCGTAGATGTTTGATTAACCACTTGTAGGTGGATAACCTTTATCGCGCGCGTTTCAGCTTCGCGAGAATTGGATCTGAAAGTCTTCTTCCTCCGCGTGATCGATCGCTCGAATTCCTTTTAAATCCACGCGCGACATCAAAATGTCACCGTCGTGCCGCCGCCGGCAATCTGATCGAATGAATGTACCACCTACTCCTCTGTTTTTATCTTCTTTTCGACGACAACAGCGACTCATGTCGCACGGCTAATCGATCGATACTGTTCGTGATTACGCGAATTACACGCTAATTCACGCAAACAACGATACGCTTCGCGCACCCATCGCGCTAGTCGTTTCGCAACGTCGATCGGGGATCGATTTCGTGCCTGTGATGCATAGGTCGCGAACAAACGCCGCGAGCGAACGAGCGAGCGGTACGTCGAGCATAAGTAACCGGTCGTATATTATCGCGAATGTATCACGCTTGATGAAAACCATCCGAGTTCAGTTTATTTCGAACAAAGAGATTCATTTCTTCAGTCACTCAACAATAAACAATTCGACGTGAATATTTTTTGAATATTGTTACACGATATGTAATATAATTAAAAATATAAATAATTAAAAACATAAAACATTTATATATAACACATTATTAATAAATAATGTGTTATATATAATATATGTTTTATGTTTTTAAACAATTATATTATTTACATACAAACTCGTGACTGTTGTATTGATGTATTTTATAAACTGAAACTTTAAAAATTTACATTTTATTTAAATTCGGTACGTCTTTGTAACCGAGCTTGAATTCTTTTTTTTTGTTTGAAGAAATAAATTTAAAGAAACATGCGGATTTCACGTACACGTTGTTGGTTTGTAAAACTCTTTCTGGTTCAAAAGAGAGAAGTGAGTGAAATTGGCGATCGGCGAGAGAAGCGCTAAATAGATATAACCAGACACGGATGGATTTCATATATACACTCGGCGAAAAAAACACGGGCTAAAAGAGAAAAGAAAAAGAGATGTACCGCAAGCGGTAGAGACTGCGTGTGGAAAAGACGACGCGCATCGCGCGTAGATATAACGTATAAGCTGTCGTTTCGTAATTTAATGCGATCTTATTTAAGCGAACGACGATAGAAAGAAGAGAAACTAACCGAGACACGTTTCTGCGTTCTGATTTCAGCACCTCGAAATTCCATCCACCCATGGACCATCCGTATTCAACTTCGCTCTTTCCAGCAATCAAGATATTCAGGGTAGCTTCGAATGCGTCCATCAAGCTGGCCCTACGTAAGTATTGTTTTTCATGCGTGATATACAAGGAAATAGAATTGAGCTCTTTGTTTTTTGAAATCGATACAATATTAGGAATTTGACGAAAATCGTAGACGTTGATATTTTTGACAGATCATGTGTGCGATTTAAATATTTTCTTTTCGTCATTTGCTCAAAATTCGTTGATGCGAAACTAGACTCGAAATAAAAACTCCGCACCTACGTTGGGGAATTTACACGTGGTTCGCGGTTTCGTGCATTTTTTTACTTTTATCAAATCACACAGAATAACGCGAGCAATTATAAATACAGTAATTACATAAACAAGAGGCAGATACCGATCATAGAGTTAGATAAGTTACAAGGTAAAATTAACGTCGGCGGGGAGAGATTTCTAGTGATTATATCGCACTTGAGCGTCGCGTCAGAGAACATGTCGTATAACGCGCGTCGGCTATCACGGACTCGCCATGGCTGAGAAATGATGTTCCGGTGAATGGACTCGTATGATGCGGTAATTTCGAGTAATCTGCCGCGTCGTCATGAGCGGCGGCGTAACGTAATCCCCCGATCTAAACCGCGCGCGACGTAAAAAACGCTTTGGAGAGCATCCTTGAGCTCCAGGTGGTTTTATCGCGACAACTTGACACACTGAAGCGGGATGTTAACACGCCGGCAGGTGTCGACTACTTGACGGACTTTACGCAGCATCGCGTGCGCGCGCGGAACGCGCGATGTTGTGTTGTGCGCTGTCAGCAGAACCGATTCAGCGGCACAATATCGTCGTACTGGCTGTCGCATACGATCCCGATGATTCGACGTGTCGGGAAAAAAATACAACAATGACGACGATGAATTGAATTTCAATACCCGCTCGCTGATTTACTTTCATTCACTTGTAATTTATGCTCCGACCGTCAATAAACTGACATATTTTTGCATGTGGTTGCGCAAATATGAATACAAATGCCAATCGTTACACGTGCAAACCCGCGAGCAATAACACCCTTGTATTTTCTTCGGTAAATATAACGTTTTTTTTTTCTCAACAAAAAAAGTATAAATAACGCTTTTAAATCTCTCCGTGCAATTTAATCCGTTTTTTAATCTCGCGATGTTCTAGTCGACCGCTCGCTAGGAACAAATACATGCCGATTAATGGAGTACGTGTGTGTATGTGTGTGCATGTATTTCAATTTTTTTTCCGCCTCTCTTTTGCAGGACCCTCGAGAGTCTCGGTTCTCTGCCGATCAAAATGCGGATACAAGCGAACGACGATGTTTACGAGACCACCAGGCATAGAATGGCGGTCGCCGAGGAGAATAACAAGAATAAATGGTGAGGATTCTTTTCTTTGCAGTAGGATGTACGGTCGGTCGGCGGAGTTCGATCCTTTGCGAGAAAGATTTTTTTTTTTTTTTTAATGCGGGCGCGCTCTTACGTCTCTTCCCTCTATTTTCAGGACTTTCCTTCGCGAGGCTGTGCCGCACCTCGCGGAATCGTAAATAATACTCGTGGCGTTACTTTTACAAACTTTCGCTCGCGGATACGGTCTCCTAACGGATGTTCGCGCGATTCACGAAGGAATTTACGGGAACGTCGCAACGTCGCGTTGTCGTCGTCGCGAGAGAACTCGTAGAAAATTGCATACGTGAGGATACACTTTTATCCTGTGTATCTCGATGTAACTTGTATCGTATATATCAAGCGACGATATTAGGATATTTTGACGAATAACTTTTAAAGCGACATCTATGTAATATACTCATGTGGAAAATTTGTTTATATACATGAAAACGTGCCTGTATTTACTCTTACTTAGTAACATATCACCTAGAACACCGTTCTTTCGAATTTTCACAAACAACTGGAAAGTGATTTGCATTTTTATGTTTTGTACGGCCGCGATTTGAATAACGTTCGAAGTTTTACGCTCTTGCTTGACGGAGTTGCATCGACACAGCGCGGCTAATTTGTTTAGTCGTCGTCACGGCCAAGGTTAAGAGCGCCTCACAAGTGCAATTTCGTCACGCCTGAACCCTTTTTCGCTTCTTCTATTTGTCGTTGCGGTGCTTTATCGCGTCTCGTCGCGTCGCGTCGCGTCGCGGCGCGAGCGCGAGCGCGCGCACACATACGTCAACGAAAATTACATAACCGAGCACAATCGATTCCTCTGTCATCAACGCCACAAATTGCATTAATTGTTGGAACACGCGACGATACGCTTGTCGTGACGCAACCCGGCGCGGCGTTTCGCGTATAAATACGCAAGAAATTAGAAAGATCGTCGCTGATTATAAATGCTTTCTCTCGCTGAAATAATGCGAGGAAATCGGTCAATCACTGCACTTTCTCTGAAATCAATAAATAAATATGTCGACAAGTAAATATATTAGAAAAATGTGTATATCTGCGACACTTTTTAAATACTTATCGAAGACAATAAAATGGTGCTCGCAATTATTCATGTTTCCTTTTTTTTTTTTTTTGTATTATTTCTTTTCTTAGATTCGTTTACATGACTCATTTACGATACTCATTTGTACAAAGCCTCATGTAGGTGATATTTAAATTTCAATGGCAATTACGTTTTCTTCCACCAGCACCAGGGTGATCAAGCCGAACGGCCCGGATATCGGACGCAAGGTGAAAGTGAAAGGAACTGGAAGAACAATACCGCCTCCGTCGTCATCGTATCCGAGGCATCGGGATTATATGAGCATTCCAACTTCCGGCAGTAGCCAGTTCAGATCGTCAACCAGCAGGCCGCCCACTAGCAGTAGTAGTAGTAATAGCAACCACTCAGCGACGGCTCGCAGTCCGCAGGAGAAAAAAATCATTTCCGATCTTATGCGTAGGCCACTTAAGTAAGTGGCTAAGTATTTGATGCGCGAATCAATGTCGTGAAAAATGAAAAAACATATAACATTTCAAATAGAATTATTATTAACTAGATTGACGTCAAATAATATGTACGTAATATCTGTTTTATTTAATTTTTTCTTTTGAGTGAGAGAGAGAGAGAGAAATTTATTTATTAAATATCAATATATTTTTTTTTTGTATATTACCATGTAAGAAATGTAATATAACTCGCATTTTTCTGTGACACAGGGAAAGACTTATTCACGTTCTTGCTTTGAGACCTTACAAGAAGCCCGAACTTTACGATCGTATCAACAAAGGTGAGACGGAAGACTTAATGCTTCTTTTTTTATTTTCTCAAAAAGATTATTTAGCCAACAATATATTAACATTCCAACAACAAATTCAGAGGGTCTAAGGGAGAAAGAGAAACCCATCATGTCGACCATTCTGAGGCAAGTGGCTTACATACGCGATAACACATACCATCTGAATAGGCATATCTGGAACGATGTGCAGGAAGATTGGCCCTTTTATAATGAACAAGAGAGGGCGATGCTAAAGAGGCGGAAACCTCAGAACCTTACTCCACCCGGTTCGAGTGATGGTTCCAGCGGTCAGTAATGTTGTTTATGTCGCTCGCATGACGTAACAAGTAGTTTCATTTCTTTATAACGATATCTTTTATTTTGTATGTTTTCTTTATTTATAGGCAGTGGTCAGTCGCCCAATTCCATCCATGCAGGCTCGCCGCCTGCAATCACAGCGCCGCCGCCTAGTCTGCTCAACAAGAGACCTGGTTATTATCAAGGTAGCGATGGTTTACCAACGAAGAAACCGCGGGTTTCGCACTACAAAAGACCCGAGCCTATCCCCTTTATCGCCGCCAGCGACAAGATGTCCGACAATAGCAACAGTTATTCTAACAACAAAAGTCCCAGTGGTGTTAGTGCAACCGTCGGTGGTCACCGTGTCGTCGACCACATCGTCGAACGTTCCACCGGCGGTAATAGTGCTTGTGGTGGTAATAATAACAGTGGTGGTGCTGATTATAACAATAGTGATAGCGGCGATATCATTAGCAATTGGGGATCGAGACAGCAAACGCAACGTGAACGCAGCAACCGTGCCGATTATCGAGTCGAAAGGACAGCGAATAGTGATGTGCGAGACGCCGGAAGCGGCGGTCCCGCCGTCAGCGCCAACGTCACATCCACGGTTATTTCCAATCGACCATCGTGCCTCAGCCTGACATCTTCGCCCAGCGCTAACGAGAGGAACAATCATCACCAGAGCGGACACGGTCGCGATAGCAGCAACACGACGACCAGTGGAAGTGCCAGGAGCACTGGCAGCGCCGAAAGAAGAGATAGAAATGACAGGAATCGAGGTGTGAGAGAAGATAGGAACAGGGAGAAAGAATCCAGGAATAGAAGTAGCGTCCCGAGCAGCGCGAGCTCGTACAACGATAGCAGCAACAACGCTGCTGCCTACGCCGATAATATCAATGACAATGACATCGCAATACCGTTCTGTGACCTCGGTAGGACCGAAGAATATCCTGACTACCTCACGTGAGTAATACATTAGTTAATTCTTATCGGTTTTATGTTACACTGAAATATAATAACAAATTCTTTTTGTTGTGAGCGAATTTTAATTTCATTTTTATTACCGAACATTGAGGGCTTACACAAGGCGGATTAATATTTCTTCAGGTATTACACGACAGTAAGCAGCGCGGAACAGAGAGCTCGTTACAGGGAAGATTTCGAGGCATTATATCCGGAGTATCGCCAATTGTACTCCTCAATGGATAACAGATCGCGACTCTTCAAGGAGATGTATGACGTATACGACGAATGTAAAAAGTCTGGCGACGCAGCAAAGACCGAGGTATCATATTGTAAAATTATTAGAGAGATTGCACACATTTCTTTAACTTGATGTACACTTGTGTGCTTATAGAATAACGTTTCTCTTTCTTTTCAGGAACTTCAACACCAGATACAAAACGCGTACGTTTATTATAAGAAAGACAAAGACAGGTTAAATGAAAAGAACCGGTTCGATTATCTGCACGGAAAGCTGAGCCATATAAAGAAACTTATTATGCAATACGATGGTACTTTTCTCCCTGAGTTTCCTGCAATAATGGGAAATAATGCTACGCAAACTGATCTGCCTATCGCCGATGCTAGTACCAACGTGAATATCGGTGACTTCGACAGTCGGCACTACTGACACAAACTGAAAAGGCCACCTTTTGTTCCTCGCCTCCTCCTCTCGGTTGTTGGTATGCTACTATCGACATTGTCGCAGAATCTGCATTTTCTCGGCAAGTTCCAAGGCTGATCTTTCACATGGTTCCTGGGTTCTATCGCCGAAAAGTCAACCTAATTAAAAATATTTAGAGATTGCGAAATCTCTCGTGTATTGTAAAAATATCTTGCAAAAACCTCGGCAAATGTATATCGCGCACGATATACTCTTTTTACTTGATCCTTCCTTTTTGCGAGAATCGACGATCGTTCTCAAAGATACCCCCCCCCCTCCCAATTTACACAATCTTACCGATTCCCGCTGTCATACACGACGAGTCGGGCAAGGTTCGCGCGTTAACTTCGACCAATGATAGTTCTTGGTATATCGCGATACGTCGTGAAAGCTGACGACAATCGAGCACGTTCAAGAGAGCGAGATAAGCGAAAAAAAAGAGAAAACGTCCATCCGGATTAGAGAAACGTTGATAAGGGCATTTTGACGACCAGTGAAATGCGTTTGTGTGCGGATATGTGAAGGGTTGAAAAAACTGGTCCCGTAACGACTGAGAGTAACGTTATAGAGAAGCGAACAGAGAAACAGCGCAATAGGAAAGAAATAGTTAAATGCTGATATGTTACTTATATACCGTACGCACGTCCAAGTGTGTCGTCCAGTTTTAAGAATAGATAAAAGAAAAATAAAAAAAAAAAAAAATGATACGATTGCGAGAAGAGAGGGTCCAAGAAATAATAAAAAAAAAAAAAAAGGCTTATCGCGTGCCACGTCCGGGTTTCTTTTTGTCCGCCGGAAGGAAGAAAGAAAACTGGCTCGCAATTACACATATAACATATGCACACATTTTATCTACGAGCTGGCACGAATCTATCGCGCACGATTCGTGAGTTGCTCGTCGCACTTTAAGAAAACGGCGTGAAAAAAAAGCGAGTTACCTTCTTACATACGAGAGAGAGACCGTAGGACTTTGTGATTTTAAGGATTTTTGTTATCTTCTTCGTTCTTTTTTCCTCTGCTAGAGAAAAGAAAAACTTATTATATTGATCCTCGAATCCATTGACAAAAGCAGCGAGGCAAGGGTTTAGCTTTAAAGAAAGACAAGAAAGAAGAATAAGAGAGAAAGAGTAATCCGCCGAACAACAAAGTAAACAGAGTGTAATTTAGTTGTGTGTACATTGAGGTATGATAATCAGTTTATAACGAACCGAATATTTAATCAGAATTTTAATTACTTTAATTTTTAATTTTAAAAAGACTGCGATATGTGCAAGAGCACGATGATAGGTCTTCGTACAATATTTTGTTTTTTTAATCTTAATCATTGAGAGAGAATAAAAGAAGCGTTTGGCGTAACTGCAATTACAATTTCCATACAATTAGACAAAACAAAAATTACAAAAAAAAAAAATTTGAAGAGAAAATTTTTTAATGATTAATAACAATTTCTTTTACTATATAAAGAATATTACGGTATGTTGTGCGTACAGTCTCTTAAATAATTCGAATAATTGAGATACGTCCTTATGTTTCAGTAACAATAATTATAGTAATTTTGTAATAATTATTACTGTCGTAATTATTGTTTCGATCAATGTATTTTATATTTATTATTCACACACAGGTGTGCGAGCAAAATATAGATAATATTTGTGTTTACATTTACAAGACTTTTAATCGATTTTTTAATTTTGAAATATGCAATTCACAGTGCCAATACTTTTTTTTTTTTAAATTTTATTTTTATGACTTTTGCATTAAGAACTGTTCAGGAACATTGTTCTTAAACCGTGCGAAAGTATCAGATGTTCAGAGTTACATATGGACAGAGTATCTATTTTATATTTTAACTTAGTTTTATATATTTTAACTGAAAAGATATGATTTCTGAAAGTTTTATAGAAAATTTTTCCCTACATTACATAGAAAAAAGTAACGCGATTGTGAAACATCTTGTTTTTTAAGCAATGAAATAATCAAATATTTCATGTATGATCAGAGTTCGGACAACGTATTGACACATGACGCGTGCATTTGTCACTTTCTGTCGACAGTTATAATTATGTTTTTATTGTCAGTACATATTTTTTTCCGACTGCAAATATGACCTTGCCCAAAACCGTCCATCGAGCCGGGAGTGCACAAAAAAGGGCAAAACGTGTTTGTCAGTAACAAGATATATTTCGCAAAAAGTTTTAAATGTGCAAAAACAATGCCAAAATATAATATATAATATGTCTATCCGATTATACACAAGACTGTATAATCTCTTCCTTGACAAACAACAGCAATAGGCAACAAGTTATGTTCCTTTTTTTCTCTCTTACATATATATTTATCAATGCATAATATGTATTATCCGATATACGCAATTAGCTGGATTTATCCAAAATAATTATCACAAAAAGAATAGCACATTGAACACGAGTCGATTATTTTGTTTTCATTGTGTAATTACTAGTACCTAGTTATTTATAGGGGAAAATTAAAAATTTAATATATCTAGTTATTTACAATTCATTGATATTTATACATATATAATGCAAGTGTTAAAAAAAAATGTTTGTTGTGTTATCGGAACGAAATTACAAAATACTGGCATTGTGTAATTTCGTTCACGGTTGTGCAATACAAAACATTATCGAAAAAAAATCGTTGTACGTGTGGAATTTTGGTAATGTTAAAATACACTACGATGCACTGAGCGAATTTCTTTTAAGAACGCGCAACAAGAAACGATAACTTAGGTGGAAATCATGTGACTGAATTGTCAAGATTTTATATTGAGAGATGATCGAGAGAATCTCTCGAATATGGCACAGCGTTGATTCATGCCAATCAAATTGTGTTTCTGTATGTGTGTATGCATATGTATGTAAATGTAAATTTATTATACATACTAAATTTATATAAGGGATAATAGTGTGTGGTAGAAAAGAATTTAAAAGTTTTGTCATTATTATTATTTATCTATAATTTTCAGGTTTTTATTTGAAAACAAATCATGTATACGCATATTGATCAAAAAAAGCTATTGTTGAAACATTTTATAATTATGTAGACGTATAAGTTTGGATGTATGTATTTAATTTTTATATAATTGTGTGTATAATTCGACTTTTTTATTATCTTTTTCTTTGCAGTATAAAAAGTGAATTAAAAAAAATACTAACAACTCACGCCTTTATTTTTTTTTATTTTTTTTCTCGCACTTGCACTGTGGCAAAACAGAACAACTTTGCATGTACGTAACACGCTGTGCCATAGGTATAAGAACAAATGTTCACGCAAGTCGGTGCACAATGCGAGAATGGCGGTCAAGAATCGAGCGATTTTTCAAGTCTACAGTTACCAATTATGTACCAGTCGTTTGTAAATAATACCGCTATGTTTGCGTTTATAAAAACCGAAAAGCGGCGTGTTCTTTGTTGAATATGAGTTTTGAGCTTCGGTAAATAATATATATTCGATTAAACAAAAAAAAACAAGACAACACTCGTCCTCCGTCGACCGATCAATCAATTCAGTCTGAATAATTCAGTCGAGAAAAGCGTTTGAACACACAGTGTGCCAAAGAGACTGAACCGAAGGGATGTTCATAGAAGAATACGATATTGATCGCGGTTATAACTTAAGCGAGACAAACAGACCGGTTTCTTTCGCGCTCGTCGTTAAAAAAAAAAAAAAAAAGACGAAGACTCGAATAAGCCGTGCGTTGTCCAGATAGTTTTTTTTTTTTTTTTTTTTTTTTTTTTTTTTTTTTTTTTTTTTTTTTTTTTTTTGTGTGAGAAATAAGTGCTCTTAACGCTGCATTTAAACGACGTTTAACGCTTGCTCCTTGATTATCGTGATTCCATTATTGTTTCGTGCAAGAAGTCGTAGAAAGAGGTGACTTTTTTGTAGTATATACATACAATAGATGTAACGGTTTTTATATACGCGGAAGTTTTTCTCGTGGCGAGACGCACTCGCGAAGAATCAAAATTTATCCTAGATAAACGTAGTCCTCTCTCGTTACCGTGGATATATTTAGGACAGGTGTGTGTGTGTGTCATTCGGATTTTTGTGTTGGAAGAGATCTTTTCCTCGAGTTTTTTCGACGGACAGCACAAATTTGTCTTTCTTGATGTTCACACCAAAAAAAAAAAAAAAAAAACGTGAAAAACTTCATTGATTTCCGAGCTAGGCGATAGATGTTCGTCCAGATTAAATCGGTGCGTGACGCATCGAGTGAGAAGACAGTGCCCTTATTTCTAACTGCGTAACTTATACTGCCTCTAGAACATCCTAAATGTCATTGAGTCATGTGCTCCGTCCGTGACCCATCCGGATGATGAGAAATGACGCGGACACGTTCATATTCATGCTCAAAAGGTTCAAACGACGACCGAACTCCGTCTTTCTCTCTCTTTCTCTCGCTCACTCACTCATACTTCCTCTTTCTCACCTTTTCTGTGAACTTGTTCGAAGAGAAAACGAAAACTCCAAGTGCCAATATTAGCGAAGCGTGAATTTATTGTATATAATATATGTACACACACATATACATACACGCACACAAACATATAACACAGTATAATCCTACGTGCATTATCTTCTAGTATTACCAGTACCTATGTGCAAAAAATGCTGATGAAAACAAAAAGGGATGTGTAATAGAAACTTCGGCTTCGAGAAATCAATAATAACCGGGAGATTAACCGATAGACTCGCGTCAAATAGAAGATGTAAATACAGCGAAGTGAAGGATCGTGTGGAGAGATTGAAAGTTGCGGTTTCAGATAGATGCACTTCGATCTTCATCTCTCTCTTCTTCTCTCACGCACACATCTCTCGATCGTCTTCGATATTCTTTCGCTAACCAAAAGAGAATCAACTATCCAATTATTATTCTTCGAAATCCTCGAGCACAGACTAATGTTCTACACTTTGTTTTGTAGAACTTTCCCAAAGACAAACGCTCGTTGGGGAAAGATGTGTGTGTGTGTGTGTGTGTGTTTGCCGCACACCCGAGTCCTTCAAACAACCCTATACCTGATTGATTTCTTCGACGTGTTGTGTGATTCCTATCACATAAATATATTTGCAATTCTCCCCCTTTCTCTTCTCTCCCCCCTCTCTCTCCATCAGTTGCATTTCTTCGCAGACACGTTTCGAGAGTCATTCTCACCCGTTTCCCTTGCAAGTTACACAACAGGTAAACACTCGAGGAACACGCATGATAAATCGGAGCAAACACTCTTTCTCGCCTCGAGAGCATCGATGTTGAAATAACATTTGGCGAATTCGCGATGTGTTTTCACTGAGGAGTGAAAGTGCGCTTCACGCGCGCGATCACGAATCATCGCGTCGATGATGAGGGCAACGAAGTTGCGCTTTTTTGCAAAAAAAACAAAAAAAAAACAAAAACAAAAATATATCGTGAAATCTCGCGCGTCGCATTGGATAACAAACTTTCAAATATGAATTTGTTTGCAGTATTATTTTTCGCAACAGCGCATATCTCAAAGTCGTCCGCGAGTAAATCTCGCGGCTCGAGTTGCGGCGGGTGGATTTTCAGCCGGGCAAAAGTGCGCACGGCACTCTCGCGCTCATTCGATCGCGAAATTGCGCGAGAGAGTGGCATATCATTTTACGAGAATAAATACGTTCTCTTCTTTCACACAAGAGAGAGAGGCATATCACGTACAGCGCTCCATTACTCTCTCGATCCGATCTCTCTCGCAAAGTGTCCTTGCTTAGAGTATCCTTAGCCAGAGCCTCGAACCGATCCAATATATTAAGGGAGAATTAAAGAGCGAAGAGAGGCGCGCTCTTCTCGGTTTTTCGACAATTTTTCCGGCGAACAGTGGTAACAGTCTTACAATCGTCTTAGCAGAGAAATTTGAGATCGTCCTCTCGATGCAAGATCATCTTCGATTCGTCTAAGATCCAGATTGCGCGGCGGTTTCTTCCTCTTCTCTATCGCGATTCTCGTGATAACAAAAAAAGTGCGATTAGAACTCGTTAAATTCGTGATTACGCGGCTGATTGACGGTTTGCGGCTGATTTTGCAAAAACCGACGAATGATAATTCCAAACATAACATCAATCACACAATACACGTTTACTCCTTCTTTTTAATATTCCGTAGTAATCCTCTTAGTAAGTTAGTAATTTTGAGAAAGTCGATTGTAATATTTATATAGTGCAGCTATACATTAAAAAAAAAAAAAAAAAAAAAGGATTAGACGAGAAACACGACGAAAAGTTATTTCTCGTCTTGTGAGAATACATATTCTTTGAGGAACTCGTCACGTTCTTTGATGAACTCTTGGCGAGACGAGTTCTTTGTCCTTCCCCTCTTGTCTTTTTTATTATTCGCGCCGCGCTCGACGGAGGTTGCTGTAAAACGAAAACGCGAGCATCTGTTCGTCACTTAGCAAATATATATATTTTTTGACTGTGATGTGTTGCTAGGGAAACTCTTCGTAAATAACATAATCGCCTGTGCGCCGAGATACTGTAACAAATTTTTTTGTTCGAAAGAAAACATTAACCCTTTGTCTACGTCGGATCCGCGCGTCTGTTTCTCATCAGAGATCATGTTCGTGAAGAAAGAGAGAAACGATCCCCCTCCCTTGTTTGCTTGAACACGACATGTACGTTATTGCGAGAAATTACGAGGTTCTTTCGTTCACGATTACGCAAGAAATTTGTGGAAGCAGACGTGTGGATTCTTTCGCGTTGAACCCTGATATCCCGTTCGTAGATAAAAGGTTAACGCAAATGTTGAAGTATTGAAAAAAAAGCGTCGAGGGTCTGAAAAACAGAAATAGAATTGAACAAAAAAAAAGCGCCTTAGAGATTAAAACAAAGGAAGCGAGGACAAGAAGAGAACGAAGAAGAACGAAGAAGCGAGAAAAACGCGGCGTGCCGGGCGATCGCGTTTCGAGACTGAAATTGATACGATGTCGTCATTCGACGCGACAGAATTCGTACCGGACGCTCGCGCGTTTCTCCATTATGAATTACCCATATCAAAATAAGAATTGCTCCGCTGGAGACCGATCTCGTGCGAAAACTCTTCCAAGTCCGCCTGAGATAATTCTGAACTTAGTCCGATTAGAAAAAAAAATTGCCTTCTTGATTGCCAAGTTTCCATAGAGATCGAGCGACTTCTCCGACAGATTTTCAGTCGCACGTTGTAAGAGAGAAAGAGAGAAGTCGCAAAAGTCTCTAAAACAAAATCAGAGAAAACGTTTAGTTCTTTTTTAAAGAAAGAAGGGGACGAGATTCGGGACCGATGTGCGGGTTTGGGATGGACTTGACGCGGGAGAGATCGACGCGCGGAAAGATCGAGACAAATCGAGCTCTTCCGCGCGATTGATTGCGCCGTCGAAAAGAAAGAAGGAGAAAATGCGACAGGTTGAGATCGGTCGCCGCGTGTGCTCGATCGAAAAGCGAGCGGATTTATTTTGTAAGTGCTTAAGAGAGAAAAAAAAAGAAAAAAAAAAGAAAGCTTAAAGCGCGCTCGGCTGACTGACAATTTGTGACTTAAGGAGCGCCAAAAGAGATAGTTTTATGTTTTCAGCATCGATCACACGCGAAAGAGGAGAAGCAGGTAAACGACGAAAAGAGAATATAAACTATATATATATATATATATATATATATATATATATATATATATATATATATATATATATNAATATATATACAGATACACATATGTTTTCGTTTTAAGTTGTACGTTGCGACAAGAGTGTGAGAGAGCGAGAGAGAAAAAGAGCGAGCGAGCGAGAGATGATAATTATGATAATTATGATGATTATATGATGACTCGAGAATAGCATGTATAGGTATACAATGTACCCCGTGACTTTTATTGACGACGACTGCATTGCTCCCCCTGACAAAGGCTCGTATATTCACTATATAGTTGTATTTGCAATTATTACCTATACATATATATTATATTCACTAATTAAAGTATACAAAGCGAAGAAAAAAACGCGAATAAAGAGGAGTTATATTGTTAGAGCGAGAGATGAGATTCGCGCGGGCCCGAATTTTTCGGGGGAAAAGTTTCACTCGCGTGGAACGTGTGGGCTCCCACGTAAACGTGACGTTCGCCGATCGGGAAAACTCCGGAAAAAATCGAGATCCGCGGATCGATTTGAGAGGAAACGCGGATTCCAAATTCTCCGACGCGCGCAAATTCCCTTGTCAAATTCACCTCGTCAATAAACACAAACAAATTTTGATCGCCGTTCCCTGCTTTTTTGTACATTGTGTAACTGATGATTGAGCTTTTAAATAAAAGAGCTATCACAGGCTGTGGTCACATACTCCTCCCGTATACTCAATAGCAATGTTAATTATTTAATTAGTGCTTTAAGATCGTGTTAATTCGCGAGGAAAGCGCGGAAAATCGAGAGAGACGAGAATCCGATTTGTACGTTTCTTTTCACCCTTTTCCCTTTTGCGCCTTCCCGCCTACGGTGTCTCGTCGGCCTTTCCGATCGTGTCTTCGATTTTGTACCGGGACGTGCAATTGTCGCGCCCTCGGAGGGGCGTGACTCCAAACGACTGTTAGGATGTTCCTGTCTTCTCGCGGCCGATCGTACCAGGCGGTCTTCGGGAATTCAAATCGATCCGCGCGCAAACTTGTGTATCGATTTCGGCTGATGTCGCTTGTCGGAAGACGATGTAACGATCGACATAAATTGTCTCGATCGTTTGACGGCATGCGATTATTTTTTTCAAGAGATTTTCGCTTTATCGGCAACGTTATCGGTTGATCCAATTTCCGCTTTCCATTTCTATCTCCTTGAATTTCCGTCCTGAAAGCAGTTCCCCGTCTGTATGTGACGAGAACATCGTGCAGCTAATGAGTTTTATGAAAATTGCAATTGTAGATATTAATCAACTTGTTTTAATTCGTGCAGTTTTTTTTTATGGATCGTTAAAAGTAGCAATTGTACATATTTTCACTTTCAATTGTTTTATCTTCCGTAATTATAATAATGGTATGTCCCTCGCGCGGATTCGCCGGAATAAACGTTTAACAAACAAGAGCTTCCCGTCACGTTCCACGCGACTTCTTCATCCCCCCGAGCTCGGCGCGTGCTTTCTGTTTTTATGTATTTGAGAATTGTGCATGAAAGAAAAAGCGAGGAGAAAAAGCCACGCGACAAAAAAAATGAGTGATGATAATGATGAAGGTGGAAAGGCAAATGAGATAATGAGAGAATGAGAGCGGTGAGAGAGAGAGAGAGAGAGAGAAAAAAAGAGAAAAAGGCGAGTCGACTCGATAAAGAAGGCGATTGACAATGCGATGCTAACACACGCTGACAAAATCGATGACGACGATGCTGACGATTAAAATGACGACGATAAATCGAATGCGTTATAACAACGAGTGCATAAAGAAGCGAAACGTGTCTTGTGTTGTGTGTGTGCATGTTGTGCTCAGGCAGATTCGAGTTTATCTGCGATTCGCGCCAATCGACAAAATGCACTCTATGCGGCTCTGCGCGCGAAAGAGATGTGTACATATTGGAACCGCGAGATTTTGTAGGGGAATCGGCGCGTTTTTCCCGTCTTCGCCACGACGGTGTTTCTCTCTGTTGTTACTACGCTAATTTAATTTCTGTACATAATTTGCAAACGAGCTCAACCTTCGTCATTGTTAATCTTCCAGTTGCGTTGATTCGATTATAGGTTGTGCGCGCGCGCACCAAAGAGAAAAGAAAGCAAAGCGACTATTCTATTTCTTGTTGTGTATATGTTTCGCTTTTTTGTTTGTTATATCGTATCGGAAAATTTATAATGCGGATCGGAGGCAAGTCTGTTGAGAAACAGTCTTTGAGAGAAAGAGAGATTTGCGGAGAGATTCGCCACGGCTGTGCGGGTTTAAATTTAAACCAAACGACGAAGCGGAAGAGTGATCGTGATCGCCTTAATTGATTGATTTTGTATCATTAGTAAATTATTAATAAATGATTTGTGTTGTAATAAATTAAAATATCATGTTATTAAAACTGCGATGCGAGACGGACTTTCGAGAACGAGTCGAATAGCCGTATCGTACCGTATCAAACCGGTGTTTCACGTGTGCAGCACAAGCTCGCTCTATCGGATCTCCGTAATTGCGTAAAATGTTCCGGTAATTTCTGTTTGTCAACATAAATTACATCGGCGAAGTTGTGTTGCATTTGAACAACCACCGGAAGTCTTTCAACATATTCGCTAAGAAGAGTCATTGAAAAATTAACCAAGCTATTTTCACCGTGAGTTTTTTTTATCAAAAACTTATAAGTCTTTTTATTTAAAATTCCTCAAATTGTGCCGCATAAATAAAATTATTAATAAATAGGCAGTTTTTCTTTTAAAAAACTACTTTTATTCCTATGAAAGTAAATAAACATGCGTTAAAAGAACGGTTGTAAAATTGACTTGCTCGATTAAAGTCTGTCCGCAATATAACGTGGCGCATCTCGTCGTTCAAAGAAATATTTCTCTTTAAATTTGTTAAACGACTTACAACCAAGATCGCAAAGAAACGCGCGAGCTCGTTTCTCGAATGCCGATTCTCCGACTTGAGGAGGCACTCCGAAAACGCAAAACGGGAATAATTAGAGAGAAAAAGTATATTTATTCGAACGACTTGCCAGTTTTGTTGCATAATGCGTGTATGAGATTGACTCAAATGCAGAAAAAAACCATACAAAAAAAAAAGTAAGAATAAAATGGTTAACGATATGAATGATGATCTGGCGGATTTATCTAAGTTGCATAGCTGTGTGAGCAGTTTCACCCGAAATATTGATGTATATATCTTAAGTTTGTATTATAACTCAACTTAATTTGTATGAAATGAGAACTTTCGAACATTAAAAAATCATGAACAAAAAACCGCCGTTTGATTCTTTCCTGCCCCTTCGGCTCCACCCCTTTCCTTACTGTAATTTTGCCTATTATCTCATTAATTAAAAATTGAAAGTAATACTGTAGATGAATAAACTCTTGTGATAGGTAACAATGCGGAGAATGCGTGCGCAATTTGTGCAGAAAGGATGTACATAATATACAGTACACTATCAGTGCGCATGCACCTTACCAGTCAGTATGTGATATCCAGTGTCAGGTGTTCGCGCTAGCTTTCCCACTTGTCGATTATGTTTAATTAAGAAAACTCGCTCGAGACGATGGAGATGATCGATTAAATTCATTGCTGCTTTTTCAGAGTTATTCTGCCGATCAATTCTGCGCTAACTAGAAAGCATGACTGCGCGAGAGATGGAGGTGAGCTTATCAAAGTGTATTTGCAAGTTTATTATTACTGATAACTGTAATTAGCTAGATAACATTTTGAAAAAAAACTCACTTATTTTTGAAACTTTGTTTCGCAGTGATAAAAACCAGATAGCACATAGAAAAAAACACAAGTCTTTTTTTACTAACCTCTAACAATGAAAATTTAACCTGACTTTTGATGTAGAATAATTTTTTCTGTTTCTGTCTTCAAGGTGGAAAATCTCAAGCAGCAAGGAAATGCGTGTGTCAAGGAAGAAAAGTACAAGGAAGCAATGTTTCATTACACACATGCCATCAAGCTGGATCCACAGAATTATTCTCTGTACAGTAACAGATCCTTTGCCTTTCTAATGATAAGACAATACCATTATGCCATGGAGGATGCCTTAATGACTATCCGATTGAAGCCTGACTGGTCCAAAGTATATGAAACATTAATGTTCAATAAAACAAATTAAAATTAAGAAAACAGACAATTAATACACATTTTATATCATGTTTTTATTAAAGTGTGATTCTAAGAAGAAAGACAAGTAGATAAATCACATATTAATTACATTATACATCTGTTTCAGGGTTATTTCAGGAAGGGTGAGGTTGAACTAAGAACATTCCGTTTCGGTGAAGCGCTTAAATCTTACTCCAGAGCTCTGTCCTTACAACCGAATGAGCCCAAAATTTTAGAAGCTATAAACACAGCGTCCAGATCACTAATCAAAGATCAGAGAGGTATTTTAAACAGACCTTAATGAAACTATATGAAAATCGGATAGTTTATAACAAAATTTTGTTTTACAGCTGATCAACAGATTCCTTGGCTTGGAGCTGGCGTCGGCATTATATTAGGAGTCATAGTTGTGATTGCTGACTATGTTTTTACAAACAAGCCGACGTTAACGGTATATGATTCGTATTTTATATTATTTTGAAATTAAAATGTTCTCATGATACTATAGTCAGTGTGAGAAAAACATTATTTCTAATCAATTACAACATAGAAGATAAATGTGTAATTGTTTTATATAAAACGTGTTGCAGTATCCTCTACTGATGGCGTTACTAACAATATCTATAGCCATGCTAGGTTTCGTAATTGCGAAGGGATTTCGTTACTTCATCAAGTGCCAAAGAAAATCGCTACTAGATCCGCCCGTCGATCTCTTCCCCGACGAAAAGGAAGATCTCGAGAACACTGACATGGACAACTTGTACAATGAGAAGGAAAAACATCCGAAATACAGTAAAGCTCAAGCAAGGCACCGATTCCGCAAGGGAAAATCGTAGTGCGTTTGACTGTTCGTGCACGCACTCTCGAATGACTCGAATAAACAGATGCATCTTGTTACTGCATCTACGACGCGTCAAGGTTACACAAGGACGCGTTTAATTCTGTCATTATTGTCATTAATCAAACTGCCTTTTCGACAATTTTGTACTTTTAGATCTACGGTGTACTACATATTATTTTTGGTTTTACAAACTATTAGAGTGACATTTAAATTTTACGATCAAAACATTTGTGAATCACGTCTTATATCTGTTGCTGCTTTAACAAGCAGCAGTTTATGTTTGCATTAAACACACGATAAATTTTATCTTTTACAAAATATACACGAATAATTTAGATAAAACTATCCAAGGCATGAAGAAATATAAGAACTAGTCACGTAATAATTACATAAATGGCCAGTAAAAACACTTAAACGTGTGAATGAGATGTGAATGCATTTTTACAACGTAACAAACTTGAAAAAAAATAGGAAAAGTCATATTTGACACTTCTCTTCTTCTTGCTCACTTAGAAACCTTAGCAAAAAATATTATCTCTTGAATTATAATATTTGTCCTTGTGATTCTTATACAACGAAACAATGAAACATAAACGTGGCTCGATAGCATTAAGAATTGTGCACTTTTTCTCTACACCTTTTGCACTATGTATTAAACATGCGCGTGACGCATTCTTATTAAGAAAACATTTCGCAATTGAAATTTATGTATCCGAGAATACATATATACGTACGTATAAGTTCGATTGTAAGAAAATGTCCCGTTGACCTCAAAGGCGACAGTAGAATCTACTTTATAGTTTTACCAGTTCATAGTTTATTAAACGTTTGTTATAAAAAAAAAAAAAAAAAATCATGATCCGATTTGTTGTCACATACAACGTGCTATGAAGCGCAATTTACATTATATAATTATCCAATAAAGAGAGAACTGGAAGATAGTCCTATTGGTAAACAGCACGATTTTTCTAACAGTTTCCTTTCCTACTTATGTCGTTTACGGTATTTCCTCTTAAAAGAGATTTGATGAAATTTTTGATCGATAAATTTTTGAGTAAATGTATGTTAAATGTGTAATAAATGTATTCAACAACTCTGAATATATATATATTATGAAACTTTTGAAAATTGATTTTGAATAGTCTCAAAACAGATACAGGCAACAGGGTGTAAATGGGCCTTTACACATGAAGTGCATCAATAGTGCTCAATAATATCGTAACAATGAATGTGAAACTCAGGACGCGTAAAGGGGATTTGCGTCTATTCAATTTTTATGCGGTATAAAAAAATCGATACAATCGAAAACATTTGAAAAAATAGATTTATTAAATATATATTGCATCACAGAATCATCGAGAAACTGTACACTTGTCGACAGTAAAAAAATTCTTTTGTATTATTTACGGAACTTGCTCCCGCGTTGTTTATTAATAAATAATAATATTAATAATAAATATGTATGCACAGCACGGACTTAAACCAAATGACATTGTATCGGCTACATCACGAAAAGGATACGCAACTACGTAGTTCTTACTTTCCACAAAAGTGGGTGCAATGGCGCGCAAAGTAGCAGCCAAAAGGCGTCGTAAAAACAGACAATGGGACAGCCGGTTTCTCTCTGTCACTAGTGTTTGTGAAGTATAAAAGAATTGTTGTATCGGACGTTACGTTTTTACTTTGTGTGATACTACATCACATACACGGAAGAGCGGAAATATAGATTTTTTTACAGCCCAAAATAAGAGCGCAAAAGAACTTCGTTCAGCAACTCTGTCGCTGACATTTCTTCTTATTTCTTCTCTTTAATGTACGATCATCTTTCTCTTTCTTTCCAAGGCGGAAAAGAGTAATTAAAATACCGACAAATGATAAACGTGGGGTATTTAAGGGGTAGAAAGTATATAAAAAAAAAAAAAAACTCGTGTTGTCTCATTACGATGTTTCAGTCTAATCATTCACCACGGCAGTTAGAAAGAGAGGGAAGTAAGAAAATCACGTGTATTCAGAGTGCAAGCGAAAGATCAGATCATGTCGCGTTGATGAAGTTTCTTATTTTCATACATGTGTGCATTCTCCATTTTCGGTTCCTATTACTACTAACAGTAAAGATGACCGGCGGGGGGGCACTACCGTGTAATCTTTGTGGTATAAACTTATAGGACGAGTAGGTCATTTCTCTCGGAACCTTTCCTCGCAACATGACGCATCTCTTTTGCACGTTTAAAGAGAACTTTTATTATAAGCGATGATGCAAATGAGCTAATGACATGGTGCAACTTACAAAAATTGTTTCGCGGACATTGATCGCGCGCAATTTGTTAATTGCAATATACAATGTAGTCAAAAAAAAAAAAAAAAAAAACATCAAACATATATACATTAACAGTTGAGATTTAGTTTCAACGAGATTGATATTTATTTGTTGCAGTTTCTCCGCGAGATTAATTTTATGAACTTTCTGTCGCATTTATTTGACGATTGATTTTCCAATAATGAAATTTATATCATGTGTGGACAACATTTCGAACTTTTATTTCCTGAAAATAAAATCAAGAGTTAAGCGAAAAACTGCAGAGTTGCAACGTGTAAATGTTTTTTCTGCTGAAAAAAAATCAACGTACGAATTATCCCGCGATTGCTTTTTCGCATGCTCGATTTTACGAGACGTAGATGATGATACGTGTAAACATGACATTTTTTTGGCTACATCAAGTAAAAAAAAAAAAAAAAAAACCGAAACGCCACCACACACGATAGCGACGATAGCTACGTGGCCGCGTGTCGCCGCGACCGTAGCCATTACATAAAAGCAACATGTAGCGTACGATGTAACACGTCTTGTTGTAACACACCCCGGTACATCGCGCGCCGTTGTGAGAAAAATGGCGACAAACTTTGACCGGAAAAAATGACGATTACTCGTCGAACACGTTTCGCGGGGACATAGGTATCCCGGTAATGAGAAATTTCGCGCGGAGATTTCGAGAGGGTTAGGTGTCGAACGGGACACCTAACTGGTGAAACGCGATCTTCAACGAGGGCGGCCGAGAGCAAGCTCGAGGTCGGAAAATCGAAGTTCGCGTTCCCGTCGGGAACGAGACACGTCAATGTTGCGGGAAAAAACGCTCGCGAAAACGAAAGATCGCGTACCTTTTGCGAATACTCTATGGACGCTCATGGACGCCCATGCGAATTGGAAGCTGCTGCTCGCCGCGATGGGCTCGTCGTCGTCAAACGCATCTGCGCAAGTGCGCGCTCATGCGCGCAGGCAACGTGTGACAGGATCGGCATAAACCAACAAAATAGTCTCGCTCTTTGACACCTAAAAATTTAAGTCATGTGATGACAAGCGCGTTATATATTTATTATAGTTGTGTGGTATTGATTGCTTGTCTTATTTCACAGATAAATTCAATAAACTTGCACAAAATATGACTGTTTATTTCAATTCTGCGAAAAACTGATATTTTGTACAAGAGCGGTATTTAAGAGAAAATAAAGTCAAGTGTTTGAAAATAAAATTTGTAAAAAGATATTTAATTTTCACACTATGTAAAATATGAGAGCTATGCGGAGGAAAAACAAACTAATTGCAACAGAACAGAGTGTGGCTTTTCGTCATGTAATTAGCTATATACTTACATACAGCTTAATTATATAAATTAGTATTTAAATTTTCACTAACATACGTGTGTGTGTGTGTGTGTAATTATTATATGTTACTGATTACTCTACAAACCTTCGTTGTAACCTCCTCCTCCTCCGCAATATTCATCTACGAACACATATCGCGCGCGCAATTTTCCGAACATTTCCGCATTGTAATGATCGAGCGAGTTTTAATTATGTCGCAACTATTTCCTCTTGCACATTAAGAGCAGAGTTCGTATCAACCGCATCGGTCGGAAACTATACGAAAGTTTTCCGCGTGCCTCATTACAATGTTCCAACGTACGTATTAATAACGCGTGAAGCTAATGCGGAGTCAAGCCGAGCTCTTATAGCTCGTTCATAGTTGCACTCCGTAGTAAATTGCACAAAGCTTACCTGCATCACGGCGTAAAAGAGAGGCAAAACGTAATCCAGCATAAAGATATGCTTTCCGTTATCCGCTTCGTGTATCCGCCGGATGACCGATCGGTAAAAAAAATTTCTCGGAGGGCGAAAAAGTCGCGCGCGAGGATGTGCGCGGTTTGGGAGATTGTAAAAACTCCCAAAAAGTGTAAAAACAAATTATAAAAATAACAATTTTCGTTCTCACAGCGCTCCGATTGAAACGTCATTACGCGATATTTCTATGTGTCAAACAAAACATTCCGTTAATTACTTTTAGATTGTACGTGTACCAACAAATGAACTTGAACAAAATTACAATCTCTCGTTCTTATTGTTTAAATGTGTGAGCCAATTGACACGAAAAATTATTCAAGATTTTGACAAACCTGAAAATCTCCTGTCATCAGTGTAAACACGTGACAGTACGCGGTCACATGACAGTACACGGTTGAGGGTTTGAAGAACAGCGGGGCGCGTGTTTTGTTCGTCTCCCTGACAAACCGCCCCTGAGCCAGTCGTATGCCTTTTCTAACGCATCCCTACCTAAAGGCATCAGGTACACGGGCTGACGAGGTCCGATTGGTCGATCGGCCGGCCGATGGGGGAGCTCGCGCGCAAGGTGGGGAGAATTCTCTCTGTGACCCTCTGACTGGGAACCGAGAGCATCTATCATGCGCAATCGCACCGGAGCGCTACGTACAGGCAGGGAAGCACAGTGAAGCGGTGAGGAATAAACACGGTGTAAGCTTTGCGCGCAGCGCAGATAGTGACGAGGAGTGGGCGGCAGAGGGAGCAACTCGAGCCGAGCAGCTAGCGTGCGAAAGAGCAAGCGAGAGGGGGGGAAAGGCGTAGTGGGAAAGAGGGAGAGAGAAAGAGAGTAAGATAGAGTGAACGAGTCAAGCCAGGACGATCACGATGCACGCACAAGAGCATAGCAGCCAGGGGCACAGGGCTGAGGGCTAGGGCTCACAGGGGCCTCGAGTAACGTTCACGGGCCGGCCGCGGCGCAGCCAGCGAGCAATGGAGCAGCCGAAGACTCCTACGTCCCGGCTATTCGTCACGAGCTGCATCGAGAACAAGGATGACTTCGAAGAGGTAACATAAATATTTGAAATGGTCACTGGATACGTATCGGGTGCAAGGGCCTCCGCCATTGTTGCGACGGTCGCGCACGTTGGTAAAGATGCGGCGCCACTTGCAAAACCCCGAGTTTCCGCGCGAAATACAAATTTTTATTCCGACACCTTGCCCCGATGGATTCTTCGTGTTGTTGTCATTCCGAACGCGGGAAAACCCAAGTGCGCACAACTTTTAAGAGTGGGATCTGCAATTTTTACTTTCTTCGACTTTGAAAATCGCTGAGTTACTCGTCTCTGTATTCATCTTGTTTGCTTCTTTGTATTCTACAAAAAAACAGCTGGAACATCTTTACATTCAGTTTTACACGATTGAGAATGTAACTTAAATATATGTAGTGTTTTAACACAAGTAAATTTTTTTGTTTTTTTCGCGGAATGTTTCTTTGTGCACTTCAACAGAGGTGTTTCTCACAAAATCAAATTAAAATTTAGATTTTTTTTAAATATCCTTTTTTTTTTTTTTACTCTTCTTATTATACATTCAATGGAATCAAGACATAACATAATGTGAAATGCTTTCAGAAATTGGGAAGATGTCACTCAATGCTGCAATCATTAACAGCGGGACTCTCAGAGAAGGAGGTCCACGATACCTTGAACAACGCCGTATGCAAGGACAAAGAAGGACACGAAGAAGTTTCCTTGGGATTATTAGTAGGAATTTTGACCGATCCGCAAAATGCTGCGAAGATTTACAGAGATTTAGCACTGATCACTCGAGATGGTCTTGCCGGTGTGCTGGCTTATTTGAATCAATTAGTATTAGAGAAATATTTGAGATTTAACGACGTCACCAGAAGTCAGTTGCTATGGTTGCTAAGAGAAATGATAAGGACTAGTATAACCAATGTGGACAATCTTTGTTTGAGTTTGTTAAGGCACGCAGCAGGCGGGGATATCTCGCCAAGAAACTTATTTCTAGTTGATGCCCTTTTAGATATTTTTCAAGAGAATCGAGCGTGGTTGGATAAATATCCATTTTTAGTAGCGTCAATTGTGTATACATATTTACGGTTAATAGAAGATCACAATGGGCCTCATTTGGCTGGTCTGCGACAGAAGGAAGTAGGTTTCACAGTGTCTCTGATAAGAGAACGAATGTCAGATTGCTTAGTTATTGGAAGGTACACACGTCTGCATAAACAAGTTCTTAACGTAATTAAATGATGAACAAGCTAATCGATATTATACTTCCAGGGACTTGGTGCGTTTACTTCAGAATGTCGCGAGAATACCAGAATTCGAGCTCCTATGGAAAGACATACTGCTCAATCCAAAAAGTCTCTGTCCAAATTTCAGCGGAGTACTGCAGCTATTGCAGACCAGAACCTCTAGAAGATTTTTACAATCACGTTTGACGCCAGACATGGAGAGAAAACTTGTCTTTCTGACGAGTATGGTCCGGTTTGGTAACCACAAACGCTATCAGGACTGGTTTCAGAGACAGTATCTGGCAACGCCTGAATCTCAGTCGTTGAGGTGCGATCTTATTCGCTTCATCGTCGGAGTAATACATCCCACGAACGAGCTACTGTGTTCTGACATCATACCACGATGGGCGGTGATAGGCTGGTTATTTACGACATGCACCTCCACTGTGGCTGCCAGCAACGCAAAGTTAGCCTTGTTCTACGACTGGTTGTTTTTCGAAGGCGACAAGGACAACATCATGAACATCGAGCCAGCGATTCTTGTAATGCACAACTCAATGAGGTCTCATCCGCCTGTCACTGCCACACTTCTAGATTTTTTATGCAGGGTAATTAATACTGACAGAATTCGATTTACACACTAACTTTTTGTCGTAAAACTTGAACATAATAAAATATACGATTTGTGTTTACAGATAATTCCTAACTTTTATCCTCTGTTGACGGATAAAGTGAGAAACGGCATATTTTCATCGCTGCGACAAATTTTAGAAAAGCGAGTTCTGCCTAGTTTATACCCATTATTTGACAGTCCGAAATTAGATCGGGAACTGCGAAGTAAAATACGGGAAACGTTTAAAGAATTTTGTCTGCCACCAAATACAGAACCTGGTAACTTTATTACTCCTTGTATTATCCTCTTAATTGTAATATACTATATGTTAAACTTTCCAAATAAGAAAAACATTTAAGTCTGACGTTAGATGTTTGTGTTACGTACTTAAGTATAATATAAGTAAATTATATAATTTTTTTATTCTTACACATTCAACGCGCGATCTATCGTTTATCCATCTACCTATCTATTGACATTCGTCTATTGTCGGACTTGAATGCCCCATCTTTCATTATTTGAGTATTATTTTTACAAATCGTACTACTTTTTAGATTTGTTGAAAAAAACTTTCATAAACTAAAAAAAACTTATACTGCATTTTGTATTTGTTGTGTTAAACATTTTACTTGCATTCGTTTATATTAATTTTACTTTTTTTTTTTGTATTTTCTTATTTATATTATGGCATATTTTGTAACTTTGCATTGTATATAGAAAAACAATGAGCCACAAGCTTTTCAGATATATTACATTTAGAAAATTCATTTTTGTATTAGAATACTTGCTAATATAAAATAGTACAGTTGAGAGTTGCATCATAAGTTGTTTTTACATTAGTGTTCGAATGCTTAGCATGATCTGTCTGTTGTTAACTACTAAGGATCCCCAGAATACAATCGCTTTACAAAAAAAATACAAATGTTTCAAATAGTAATAAATAGTAGTGATAACGATAAAAACAAGATGAGCTATTGAAACATTTGTAGAATGACGAACCGTATCTTTCGTATCTCTTAATTGATAAATAGTACAGTCGAACCTCGATAACTCGCATCTCAAGGGAAAAACTAAAATCGTCAAGTTATAGAGGTTTCGACTTATCGAAGTTTGTTTTTCCTTTTTGCGGAACGCAAGGGAATGAACAAAATTTTCGTTCTATAGAGGTTTTCGAGTTATAGAGATTCGAGTTATCGAGGTTTGACTGTATTAAGTGTTTGTCCCTCATCGGTGGTAATATCTAACAAAAATAAATATCACAACGTATGTGTTGCATTCTGCTAAATGCGATCATTTTTGCCAGCAACAAAAAATAAATTTTCTTATTCAACATCTAATTATAGCGGTTTCTTAGGGATGATCTTAAATATAAGATCGAATACCTTAATCTTAATTTTAGAAGCTTGAGTAGATTGAAAAATCGAGAAGAGAGAGAAAAAGAGAAAGAGAAAAACCAATCACCGTAATGCAGTATGCACACACACACACACTTGCAATGTGGTATACAGAAACATTCGGTGTTAAGCAATTGGCTATATTGCATATATCTGTAATGGTTGCTTTTTCGTTTCCTGTTGTTAAAACTCTGACGACGTTTTAACGCGCTTGAAGCACTTGCACGTAGTCTTCTTCCCCAAGTTTTTTTTTTTTTTAAAGCTATCAATTCACTACTTTCAGCTTAAAGCACAATTACAGCTTACTAACTTTTTACATCATCTCCTTAAGCAGGTAATAAGGTTCTGAAATATTCAGGTAAAATGGAAGAGCTCAACAAGGAGCATAATCCAGGAAATATAACCGAAAACTCGAACGCAAATTTCACCATAGAGAACAATCATGTGGCGCAAGATTCAGAACCGGCATTCAGTGACGAAGAGGAAGAGTCTCCTCTCAGGTTATTTTTTTTACTGTATAGATATTTAAATACGTAATATTTTAAATTACTTGGTTTGTTTTACAAAAAATGTGTCACTTGTGTTTTAGAATTGTGACAAAGGTGGAGGATGAAGAGGACGAGGACTTGCCATTATCTACAGTGAAACTGAAAAACGATCAAAAGAACGCAAATTGTATCTTAAAGAAGGAGGATATCTCGTTGCACTTACGTCTGATATTGGAACCGGAGGAATTGAGAACTAGTCTAGAAGCGTTACACACAGAAACTGACAATGAGGCGAAATGCCAAACGATGGAAAGGATAGTACAAATGGTGGTGGACGACGAGATAGACGCCGAGACAATATCTCCATTGGCATCCTGCATATCGACCATCTTATCGTCGCAAATCACTGCGCAGATCTTTCCGTCAGATTTGAACGAGGAAGCGCTAGCGGATAGCATCAGTACGCCCCTGTTCGTAATGTTCAGGAATCAATTTCAATTATGTAAAGAGGAGGACAACAGGCGGAAGCTTTTGGCCAGAATATTAGCGGAAATGCAATCTGTTCAACCGAGGATAGGCTATCTTCTTCTTTATTTTCTCAAAGTCTGGGGCAGAGAAGAGGAAAAACGAGAAGGCGAACCGAGGTTAGTATGAAAATATGAATAAATATGATTATCAGTAAACATATGAACGCACTAATTCTTATCTGATTTTGATTTCAGTAATGTATTAAATGATGTCAAAGCGTCAGTGTACAAAGACTTTTGCTCGCAACGAGACAAAAAATTGGAAACATGTCTTATATCAGACTTGAAGGTACACTTCCAATAACAGGAATGCTGTATAGCACAGTTTTGCTTAATGTGTATACATAATATATTTATTTGTTACAGCTTTGCCACGAAGATAATATATTCATGTTGTGCTATCTCGTACCTGATGTGTACATGGGATTTCAAAATATTACTCTCGGAAACGTCCAGTTGTTACATCTGATAGTATCTACCGTAGACTGGTGCCAGTTGCAAGACCTAGTTTGTCAGATAATGCAAGGACATTTGAAGATGATAAAGAGAGAGTCGTTCACATCGTTATTGACTGCTAGTTTAAATTGGGAGTCTTTCGAGCAAGTGTGTTTTTGGCAGCTCATAGTTGCGCACGATTTTCCTATCGAGTGGGTGTTATCTGTTTTACCGAAGCTACAGTTTCGCAATCACGCGGAGGCGCTCACGCAAATTTTGTTGATGCTTAAACACGAAAAGTAAGTAACAAGCAGTACATTATAGATTATTCAAAAAGTTTATAAAAATAATGTCATGAATTATGTTTTTCTTTTTTTTTTATTATTACAGACCAACTTTGGATCTTTTACGACAACTACTTGCTCGACAGAACGTCGACGGTGATTTGTTTGTCGTATCCGCGTTACAATACTGGTGTCGCAATTACGAAGAAAAACTCGGTGAGTTGCTCGCGACGTTACTCAGCACTCGATATCCCGCCACCAGTCCGAATAAACGGAAACGTTCTGGAGGCAAGCAAAATCAACAACAGGCCGGTCCACCCACTGGCGAACAAGTTCTAGGCCACTTGGATCAGCTGCGCCAACACTGTACCTCTTCGGAGGAACTGCAGCTGTATCATTTGGAGGGGATGCAAAGAGCGTTACAGCAGGCGCAAGCCGCGAGCAGTGACTCGTTGAGAAAGAGCTACGGTGATCTTTTCGCGCTTGCCGAAGTAAATGAGGAGAATGAACCACCACCGCCACCAGCGAGTAGCTCCGCGAGAAAACATACTACAGCATCCTCAGGAGGGGGCGCGGCCGGTGGTAAGGGCGGTCATAGAAAAACGGGTGCTAACACAAGAGAAAGATCCAACTTGAAGAGACCTCTGCCACGGTATCATGTGTATAGTACCTCTAGCAGTGAAGTAAGTTCTTTATTGTTTATTTATGTATTTGTTTACCCATAACATATATAAGATTCTTGAAAAAACTTCAAAAATACATAATATATTCAGACTCCTTGAAATACTTACATATCATACAATAATAATAATGAATAATTAATAATAATAATGAATAATTAAGATAATAATTTTTCTTGTCAATAACAGGAGGAAGAGATCGTAAATCCAAAGCAAGGAAAGAAAAGGAAAAAGATCAATCCAGTAGGCTCGGACAGCGACTGACCACCCAGTGTCTTCACATGTCACATGGACCATGTGCGGAAAACTAAATTAGCCTTAAGGATAGTAAGATAATATGATACACATAAATAGATATGTCTCTAACGCGATTTGTAAATATAATGTACGTTAAGAACGAACGCGGAAAGAGGTGTACATGTATATTGAGAAAATAATGTTTCGTGAATGTTGTTCGGAGCAACGGAAAAATTGCCAGATTGTTATTGTTAAATTTTGTTAAACAAAAAGAAGCAAAACTTGACGTAAACAAATTACTTGATCGTATCGTTGTAAATACGAACCTCTCGTTCCGCGTTTTTACATGTGAATACTGGTTATTGCTTTTTCCGGTAAACATGACAGATACAAGTTGATCAATACGGTACGTCAATTAATAATTATCCTATTTTTCTGTTTTTCTCACCTCGAAATAATCGCGGTCAACGGGCTACCGTGTGCGCGCATCTGTCAAACAAAGTTACCAAAAAGCAAAAGCTAGTCAAAGAGTATCTTGAAATCATTTAACGATAACTTTCTTCGCGAATATGAAAGTGGGAAGCAAAACCATGTAAGGAGTACGGCAATGTACAGTTATAATATATCTTTTTGCACTTTACAAGTTTTTTTCTTTTTAATAAAGTAACGAGAATTTGATTACTGTTTAAGAAAAAAACGCATTTTTCCTTTCTTTATGAAGCTCCGCCGCGATTAGACATCCATTGCCATAACTCTGAACGTAATTTGTATCGATTGTTATCTTACTTTTTTTTTTTTTTTTTTTTTTTGGAGTTGGAAACCTTTCATCGGAAAAGATAGAGATAATGCTGCAATTCTCCTGACAAAAAAATTATAAGATTTTTCAAACTCTCGTAAGAACTTACGACTAAAACTACAATCCTTGCCTTTGTCTCACATTAGTGCAAGATTGCAGTTTACATAAAAACTAACTCAGATTTTTATGTTTGCTTCGTAAGCAACAATTTTATAATTTTACGATTTGTTCATTCGCTTAAGAATTGCAGCATTTTACTCCACGGACATCACACCATTCCGGTGAGAGCGTTATAGTTTTATGACCGAACGAATGTATTCGGTTTCAATCTGCGCGCTTGGTAAGCACAATCATCTCTGTTCAAGAGTCAACGCGTAGCAATACGTGTTTTATAATATTCTGCGTATAAAGGAAGGCTGTTAGCATTGAAATGTTAGATAAATAATTTAACACCAAAATAAATTCTTTTTTTTTTTTTTTTGTTATTAGAGTTTTAATAAAACGATTTGTTGCGATTGTAAATTGTGACATATGACTTATATATTGTACATTTTTTGTACATTATTTTTTACATCTCGTGTATTTGTAGAGTATGTAGGTATATGTAAGGTTTAAATTAATTAATTTGGAAAAATTATCGTGAGCGCGATACAAATCTTATTATTGTACAAATACGTTCGCTCTTTAAAAGCATTCAGATTTGATGATTGATTGTTCATTGTTTTTTTATTTCATTATCACACACACACTGCATGCGCGACATCGTGTGGTCTCTCCCGAGAATTTCGAACCGCACGCGCGAGATGACCTTCTAAGAGTAGAAGAAAGAAAGGAAAATGTTCTTTAAGGATCTGTAAAAGAAAAAGCAACGGTTGCGGAGTATCACCATTCACTTATAATGTACATTTCCTGTAAAATTGGTTAATCTAAATGTAGGCTACGTTATGTATTTTCTAGATTATATGTGTATATATACGTGTGTGTAATGAGATAAGACGCGCGCGATGAGAGAATATGTGGTTGCGTGAATGCGTGTTATTATTTAGTACGTAGTATACGATGAGGCGCGAAATTGCGAGATATTTTACGTTTTTACGAAACTCTATTCTCAGCATTCTCCATGCCTCCTTTCTCGCTCCCTTGATTTTATCTTGACGTTGCAAGCGCGAAATCACGTCGATAATCGGATAACATAAATGCGCATACGTCTGTCAGAACACTCTTTGTATATCAAAGATTGTTCTGTACGATACCCGTTTGTAATGACTCGTGAACGATAAACAAAAAAACAAACGATAAAAAAAAAAAACAAACGTTAAAAGTTTTTCTACTTGTACATAAAACGCAATAGCGGCACATCAGGAAAACATTCAAAACGACGAGATATGATTTAGCGAGAGAGAAAGAGAGAGAGAGAACGAAAGTTTAGTGCATGCAAGAGGCAACGAGAGCAAAAAAAAAAAGGGTAATAAGACAGAAAAGCAAATCTGTAAACATTAATTAATGTTTTTAACGATCTTGTACACATGGAAGAAACATGTAAATACATGGATAGATTATTATCACATAACGCGAGCATAAACATTTAATGTTTTTAACGATCTTGTACACATGGATTACATAAATGAAATGTAAATACATCGAAAATTACTGGAAGCAAACTTGTGATATCCCGTACTTACTTTTTTCTTCTTCTCTCGAGAGTCTCCTTCTTCCTTCCGGGATTAGTGAATGTCAAGATGATAATCTCGCAGATTCGATACTAGCGACAAATTGTCTCGCTGAAACGACAACTAAAACATATGTACATGTGTACGTTCGTGTGCGTGCCAACTGATAAACAACTATCTCTGTCTTCATCTCCAACTCTTTCACGACGAAACTGTAATCGCGTTATTCGCGTGCGATGTAATGCTTGTTTCATCGGTCAAAGTAAAAAAAAAAAAAAAAAAAAATTAACGGTTATCTATACGTTGACTGGACGAATAACATTTTGTTCACCGACTCATTGAGTATAATTGCTGTTTGCATTGTACATCCTCTAATGTACGAGTCACTCAATTGCAAATTTCGACACATAACAGAATGTTTTACAAAAAACCGCGTAAGATTCATTTAAAAAAAAAAGAACCGCTTTTATTTTCTTTTGTCACACACACACACACACACACACACACACATGTAAATCTTCATCACATACCGAGAAAGATTCGGGAAAATCCAGCTTTGATGCGAGACAATAAAGAAAAATCATGACGTAAACTGTGTGTTGTTGTCACTAATTATTATTATTGCTAAAAATGCAGCGGCGGGGAATGCGATGTGGAATTAGATCCATATTTTATTTTCTCGAGAAATTTTCGGATACGTCATTATTAATTACGTGACATATCTTTTCTTACATACATAATAATGCATTAATCAAATTGTTTTTTGTCCGTTTGCCGTATATCCGTCAGCGAGACGAGAATTGCGAGAGTACAATTTAAACGTCACCAAGCGTAAATAAAACATAGCTACGTGCTTTTCTCGGAAATCAGAAAATCTCGATATCGAATAATATCTTACATCGGGGACACAGAATATAAAGGACCTTGTGTGTAATTTCACAAATTTATTCACTTCGTTGATTGCATTTAATTATAATTCGCACTCGTCTGTCTGTCGACAAAAATTTCAAATCGGCTAATTGGTGTGTGTGCGAAGATCAATCGAAAGCAGAGAAATTCTGAAATCTGTTTTTCATCTTGTTACACTTTACATGATCGGCTAATTATTCATCGACTAATCAAATATATGCTTCGACAAGATTGTAAATTCGTAATTTTGTGCAACGCGAGTGTTGATGTGTGTTAAAAGACGTCCCGTTCTTAGTACACTGAAAAATCGACATTTAACCAATATTAGGAATGACGAAATATTCATACACGCCTCTACATTGATCTCCGCGCGTTATGTGTCGTTTTTAATTAAAGTAGAGAAATAGTTTTGTTTCGATTGTGCACGGGGTTGTACTTTACATTAGGTATATTTAAAGAGTCCGAGTCTGCCGCACGTTAAAAACGGCGACGTTATTTAATCATTAATCACAATCGTCGAATATGTACAAGGATTCTGTACAGGGATTCGTGTGTCATTCGTCGTCCCATGCGTATATGTACTGTATCACGTAGAAATTATTACACGTATCGTTTTACTCACGATACGCACGCACTCATGCACGCACGCATCCGCACACACACACACACACACACACACATCACATACCACGCGCAACAATATCATATTTATTTATAAACTAATTTATGCCGTGAACCATCCCGAACAGCGACAGTAGCTTGACATTGATACTGACACCGACAGGATCAGAAGACGGATCCGAGATATACCGTTGTCTCGCATCGTACAATGATGGGCACATTGTTGGACACCCGATGTAGCGCACGACGACAACTTTTGTCTCATCGTGATCAGATATCATCAAACGGAATACGAAAATCTAACGATCTTCACAACGAACAGCGCACGAACAGCGAATGCGAACATTTGATTAGTCAACTGGCCGAATAGATCAATGCGATTGGAATTCAATTCTCCGCGTTTGTTCGTTATTCGCTCGCTCCGTGTACACGGCACCCCAGCTTAATACTGATTGTTCATAGCGAATTTGTCTTTTTTTGTGATGTTCTATTTTAACGATATACAAAACCTGAACTAACACAACCGCAAGTCCTGAAGCAACATCATGAGACGGCGTACATTTTATATGTTTCTAAAATGTAATTTAGAGAAAACACTTTTTGTATTTTTTCTTAAATTTTTCCGTCCGTTTTTGTGCTAAAAAGCGCGGTGCAACTTTCGCAGATCGGCGAGACTTGAATCTTGACCTCGATATATCGGCCGTCCGCCTTAGGCGCGTTAATAATTCTACGTAGCTACAAAATCATATATGTCTAACATCACCGTTTGCGAAGGCTCTTCTCGTTTGCTTTTAGTGCGTACGCGGACCGTTCCAGTAAATCGTCCCGCTTCAACGCGTTCGCTCGTTGTATACACGCGACAAATAGAAGTCCTGTCCGCGCGTGATCGCACGTTATATGTAATCGTGCGCGAAATCGGAACACGCACACGCGAAATTAATATACATATCGCTGATCCTCGTTCACACGCACGCACGCACACATACACACACACATTTCTCATTCTTCTAGCGTGATTCCGTTACATACAGAGCCGACGCAGTTTTGCACTTTAGTACGCTGACTCTGGCGTTCGTTCCTATTGTCTTTCCTGCTTTTCTCGTTTCTTAATTTCTTTATTTTTAACTGCGTGTCATCAGTCGAGGGAACAGTACTGGCTCGAAATTATGACGCGTATCGTACAGAATTCCACTCTATGTGTTCGGAAGTATATATTAATTATTACATGCTTTTATAATAAAAGACTAATTTCCAGTTTTTAATTGGCCTTTATTTTCTCTCTTAATATTTTTTGTAGAGTTAAGTAAAATTAAGTTTTTACATATTTTATAAACATGCACACATCTAATTTTACATATAAAAAATATTAAATATTTTATTACACATTATATTTCAATTATATTATTTTGTATATAAATTAATAAATTTATTTTTTGCTCAAGCTGAGCTCGAGTATCATCTGCCTATAAACTAGAAGTTAAACAAATTAGGAAACAAGACAAATGACTAAAAATTAAAACAAAACGCACAGAGCCATAAAGCAGTTATTCGTGTATTAAATTGTAGGGGTAAATAAACTTTATATAAAAAAAATTATAACGCGGTAGGCTTGAACGTCACAACCGGCGCCTCTAAAGTGCAAAGCTGCGCTGGTTCTGCGTTACAATATAGATTCGCGTACGTGAAATATGTACACAGTTTTGAATCGCGCAGTCTAAGGTCCTAAGGCTGCCGAGAGTCCCGATTTCGGGAACCTCTCACGTTTCTCTTCTTTGAAAAAAGAGAAGAGAGTACACAAAAGTTTGTGATCTTAACGTTACCAAGAGGGGGGAGGGAAGGCAAGTCTCTCTCTTTATTGGAAATAGGCTTAGTAAATCACTTCGTATACACTGGCCTTCTTATCACCGGATCCAGTCACGATGTACCTATCATCCGCGGAAATGTCGCAACTCAGCACTGACGACGACTCCTTAGACTGTAAATTTCGACACACAATTCGCAAAATACTTTTGCATACAGCAGCTGGACGCCGCTTTTTAAATTAATCACATACAACAAACTTGATGTGTGATTTATATTTTGAGAAAATATGGAAAAAAAATTTAATTTGTCGTGTTTGAATACTTGCCTGAAATATTGAAGCACCGTATGGCGTGCGCCACGCGTTCAGCAAGTTATCCTTGCCGGTGGAAACAAACCATTTGCCGCATGAGGCAAAACGCAGCGACAGCACGCAGGAGTCATGCAGATGCAACTGGTACTTGTCAGACTTGGTTGCGTGAAGCACTTCCACATTCGAGTTTTCCATTCCAACGGCCAGCCACTCGCCAGTAGGACAATAACCGAGAGAGAATATTTGCGAAGTGAAGTCGTGCTGCTGAAGCTGCCTGCCTTCGCGAAGGTCCCAGGAGCGCACGGTGTTATCCAGACCGCCGGTCCACAACTTGGACCCGTCGGCAGAGATATCGATGCAAGACGCGCCGTCTGTGTGACCCTGAAACTGCCTCACCAATGTCTGATTTTGCAAATCCCACACAGCAATGTTCCCGTCGCTGCAACAGCTAAAACAGACTTTCGAATCTGGCGAAATTGCGAGCGCGTAACAAGCGGGCGCTGACGAGGTCAACTCCGCCTTGATCCTGGGTGTTGGACTGGCCAAGTCCCAAATGCTTAACTGACTGGCCTCTCCGCCGACTATAAGAGTCCTGCCGTCAGGTAGCAGTTTAACAGATCTGAAACATCCGTTCAAAAACTCGTTGTTTTGTCGAATTTCTTTTTGCTAAAATAAAATACAAGTACGAGTTAGAAGAGAAATCATTTAACACTGATAAAATATAGAAAAAAAAAATATCTCTCGAAAAAAATTGTTTCTGAAAAATTTATGTAAATAACAAGGGCGTCTCGCACATGTCTCGGCGACGTACAACGCTCCGCTCACCTAATGTAATTGTCACGTTGCAAGCAATCTAGCTGCGAAACCGGTTTTACGCTGGTAGTGCCGATGCTCTGGCTGATATCCCAAACCTTGACGCATCCCTTGCCGCCGGTATAAACGTACTTGGTCGGATTCGAGATCGTAACGGCGCACACCACTTCGCCGTGAGTCAGAGAATTAAGCTGGCGCGCGTGACGCGGTATGCCCGGTCCTATTAGAGCATCCATGGGGAATGGTACGGGTTGCAGTTGGCCCTCGCCGTTCATGTGATAGGAATACGCACTGTGGGACGAACAGATATTAATCGCAAATATTAATAGAAGTGTTCACAGCACCAATAGATTATATCCGAATAGGAGCGGATGCGGATCTGATCTAAAGTCATGTGCCTTGAATTCTGAGGTTTGGGATAATAAGGAATCTCTTAAGGGATCTTTTTTATGCATGTAATAAAAATCATAAAATTACGTACGGTTTGCCGCCTGCGATGTTGCTCAGTCCATTACTCGCGGATATTTTCACGTGACTATCGAAACCGAGCTGTGAAAAAAATATGACAATTAAAGATTATGATAAGTAGAGATAAAAATATTGTGATAAGTAGAAATATATCTGTATATATACGTATGTATTCGTTCGGTTTGTGTAACTGCGAAATAAACGACCTTAAATACAAGAGTCATTTATTATATGAATAAGAACAGAGAATAAGTCAGATTTTAATAAGTGCACAAATTTCGCAAGAAACTTGTTACGCTTTATAATCTTAAGACTTTTTTTTTTTTTTCAATTTTAACACACAACATCGCAATTTGCAAGAGCTACCTTATACATATCAACAGTACTCGAACACACAAAACAAAAACAAAAGTTTTATCAGTAATCCAGAAGTTATCCTACAATTATTAAGACAATTGCGGTTCAAAATTAATTTATATAACTACATGCGATGTTCTCATATCGCGCGCGAATGTTTATCTCCTAATTACGTAAACTAACATTAATTAATGAATGAATGAAAGAGCGCGGTAAGTTAAAGAGCTAAGGAGTTACGGGGTGAATCACCATAGAGGGCCTCGCGTATGGCAAGTTGCTGTATGGCGAGGGCGACTGCGGCGGCTCATTGCCGCGGGATGGCAAGCCCTGATAACCCTGCGGTGGCGTTTGCTGCGACGATGGCGGATGATAGACCCGCGATGCCAAGGGCCCAGGGATGCCGCCCATAGTTGGCGTACAACTGCGCGAGCCCCTCGCCGCCGCCACAGGTGTACCCGGCTTGTCGACCTGGCGAACGCACCGTGTTTTGCACCCATTTTTTTTCCAGACGCTCACTTGTGTCGCAAATCGCACCAAATTCGACAACATCAACCGCGAATTGCGATGATCTAATGCCAGCCGATATTCTATTTTTCCTCGCTTTTTCTCATATCTGTTCTGTTTTTCCATCGCAGCGGTAGAGCCGCTGCTTGAACGGATCGAATAAACAATGCGCGCTTCCTCGCCTTGAATCGACGAGAATTTGGTCGGTCCATTGTCGCGCGAGATGTTACGATATCTTTATGTAAGGTCGCCAGATGCGTCTTAGTTACACAGCATTTGTTACGCGAATTTAAGGTAAAACTTATTTCGCATTTTTCACTGAATTGTTTTTTTTTTTTTTTTTTTTTTTTTTCGAATTCTTTTTCGTCTAATTAAAAATTAGTTTTGAAAAAACGAGGATTTTGAGAAGAACGTCTGGCGTCCTTATGTACGTTAAACATGTTATTCTTTGCTAAGAAGAAAAAGATTTCGATATATATATACATAGTATGTATATATATATAAAATGAATGAATATATGGGCGACAAAGTCACGACTGAACCGGGTCGCAGCGCCGAATAAGCTTACTCTCCGCGAGATCTTACATCTTTACTTTTCAGAGACGGTGTACTGCGGGCGGATGAGCTACCGCTTCGCGACGGCGGCCTGTCCTTTACGGATGCCGAACCCGCGCCGGATGCCGGTCCGCCAACATGACCAGGTGCGCCCAACTTCTCTAGGGTGCCGTTCTCACGTGGATCCGAGTGCTCTCCGTTCGCGTGCGGTGACGACGCCTCCTTTTTGAAATAGAATCACCATAAACGTTGTTTTTCTCATCAAATGTATGTAATAACAGACTTTATAAACTTGTGTTATCACAAAGTTAATTACAATTAAACGCAGCAGGCAAAGACTCGAGCTGTTACATAAACAAAACAATTTCCAAAAAAAGCACCTTCAATTGAGCAAAACAAGGTGACTAGCAATGACTTTATTAATTTATTATATTCACATTTGTTGTTTCCACAACGAGATTCATTATTTAATTTATTTTAATTCTATATGCACAGATAAAACTGTAATTATAACAAAAACAAGTGTAAGCATTTTTCAAAAATTAAAAACGTTTTGAATAAAATCGTGAAATATACTGCATTTATTTTTTTTTCTTTGTTTTTACCTCGTTCGCTACGTCGACAACCAAGTCCTGATCGCTCTTCTCAGCGTCGCTCTCCTGAAAAGTTCGAAACGATATGTAAGACCATGATAACGATGATGCTTCGTCGTGTCGGTGGCAGGTCTACCCGAACCGGGCGACTGCTCGGTATATCAACGAGCTTTTGATGCACCTTCGTGCAAGTAGACGAGCAACTCGACCCATATTCACGCTCGCGCGCGCGCCGCACTGGTGGATGCGCCCTCAAAGATGCATTATTAATCCAGATACCTCGCACGCTCGTGCAACGCTCCGATTGTGTTCTAAGTTAACAGCGAACTGCTAGGGACAACTAATGAGCTCCGCGATACGATCATTTGTCAAGATTAGAGATTTACCTTCGGAATCTCGATGTAAAAACCAGAACTCCTTCCGAGAACAGTTTCAGAACCGATTCGAGTTGTATGAAAATTGTTGTATCTCCGACAAAGTTTTGAAATATTTCTTTATCTGTGTTAGAGATAAAAGTCACCCTCGAACATTTTTATTTTTATCCCCATCGCTTTTTCACCACGTGTAAAAATACTTGTCGAAATGTTCGCGACACACAACGAGATTTCTATAGAAATTCCGGAAGAACAACCTATTCCCCGCGGGGGAAACGTTCTCTATCGCTCGAAGTCCAATTCGAGACAGCTCGCACGAGTAATTAGAAAAAATTGCTTATTAAAATCACCTATGCGCTTAATTATTCGCGAAACAATTTGCGGCTACCACCTCTTGTGTAACGTTTATCTCGCACACGTCGTCAGTTTATATCTATAACCAGCGCCGTTATTATTTCCGCAATTTTACGTGTATGTACGTGACGCGGCGCAGTGTGTGTGCGTACATATCGCGTACTATATACACCAAGCTAATTTATGTGGCATTTATCTCGTAACACTACTTATCGGTTATCTTTCACTTCGTACAAGCGAAAAGCCCCTCCTCTCCCATCCCTCCCCGCCGCTGGCATTGCGTTTTCTCTCACTCGCAGGACGTGGCACGTAACGAGCTCAAAGCAGGGCATGCGATAGTGTGTGGCATTGCCCGCCTAATGACGTAATATCTCGCAACGTATATAACGTGCCGTCAATGCGCGACGCATCTCGTACGTGGCTACGTGTAACGCACGTAGGTATGTATGTATGCGCGAAGGTGATGCCCGGGTGAGCGTGTGACAGAGCGAGTACGAAACCACCTGTGCGCGTCGCGCGCGCGACATTTTAAAATAATTCAGCTAAAAAAGGCGAGTAAATTTAAAAAATTTCTCCCGCTAAATAGCGCGCTCCGCCTAACGTGATCTTATCCCCGGCGTCCCAGCGCGCGCATAAATTACATTAGACTGTTTCAACGGGAAAAAAACCGTCGTGTTTAAAGAGAGAGCAAAATTGAAATCTCCCTTAGTGAACTAATTAATAAAATTGAAAATTTAATTAAAGATGTGTGTGTGTGTGTGCGCGTGTGACAAAAACTGAATACAAGTTTACATTTGCTTAACCTTTTTTAACGAATGCTTGTGTGTAAATAAGATAAACAAAGACTTTCTCGGATCATTGAGCTGCGAAATGTTTGACGATCGAGAAACTAAAAATGATGCACAGATGGTATTTCCATAATTTTGTTGCATTATTTGATTCGAGATGTGAAAAACTGCGACGTAGAAGTCGACACTTTTTTCAAAAAAGAAGCAGTCGGACGGGGATAATCGGAAAGACTTTTTGTCGAGAAATGGCCGGGTAGATATCCGGGAGAGAGAAGAAACGATCGTCGGCGCGTTAAATGGAGCGCGTGACATTAGCCGGGACCGAAATCGCAATCTGGCCGCGCGATATATCCTTGGCGCGCAACGCGAGGGGAGGAATGTTGCGAGCTGTTAGGGACACGCAATAAATTTGTGTACGGATGATGAGCCTGGGTAAATAGAGAAGGCAGTGTGGTGGTATTGATTTCAGTGGTATATTACTCGGAGTGGCGAGCGGGAGGAAGGAAAGGGGAGGCAAGGTGGCGCTCGGGGGTGACGGAGAAGCGCGGCCGCGAGTGAGAAAGACCAGGGGAGGTGAAGACCGAAGGGTGACCAAGAAGAGCAGGAGAGAAGACCGAAGGAGACGACGAGGAAGAAGAAGGCTGTCGGGTGGAGGCTGTCTTCCACCCCTTAACCCGCTCGTTCTAGCGTTAAATATGATACAAATGTTATCATCCCTTCTATTCCGTTCTCCTGGTTCCCACCCGACGGCGACGGCACACGAACCACGAGCGAGCCATCCTGACCCCCCTTCCTCCCTCCCGGTTTCTCTCCACCCGTTTCGTCTCACAGCCTCCTCGTCCTTCGCTTCCGTGCCACCCCCAATTCCCTTCCCTTCCTCTCTCTCTCTTCCGCCACGTCGCACTGCCGCTTCCTCCGCCAACCTCTTCCCTCGTTTAACCCGGGGATAGCGCGGGGATGACGGTATTAAGGGCAGCTCTATTATTCGACCACCCAACCACTCGACTCTTCGCCTCGAGAATCCTCGAATCCTTTTTTTTTTTTTGCTCCCTTCGTCCTCTTCCTTCTTCTTCTTCCTTACGATCAACCTCGTGACTCGTTCTTTCTCCCGAGACTCACTTTACCTCGCCCTTCGCGCTCTCCACTCTTCGTGCTTTTCTGTTACGGTCCCTTCGCCCCGGATCTTTTTTCCCTCTTTCCCTCCCTTTCTGTCCCCGCCACTCCTTTTCCACGGTCCCGTACCCTCGTTCCGCGCCAGCCGCCTTCTATCGGGGTCCTCTGTAAACAAACGCACGAGAGCGAAAGAAGAATCGAAGGCTTTTCGTGTTCCCCCGTCGTTCCCTCAACCCGCCGACTCTATTTCTTCCTTCTCTTTCTAGTTCTCCTGCTGCTGCTGACTTTCGCAAAGTTAAGCGAGTGGCTACGGATGGGAAAGGCAATGTGTCTACTCTCGGACAGGAATGGAATTTACTCGACCATACGAGTGCTTTTCTGGCTGTTGCGCGCCCGCATGCAAGATCCCTCGCGCTCGTCAATCGATGATAAATATATGACGAAGAGCAAGGTATCATTTACATATCGAAATTTAAGCTCTGCTGCCCTTTCACTGCGAAACATCTCCTCGTAAACAAATTCCCATGCAAATCCGATTACTTTTTCAATTTCGCGAAACTGTTTATCGCGCGATAATTTAGAAAGCATACAACTTTGAAAATCGAATTTATCCCAAAAAAAAAAATAAAAAAAAAAAAAATCCCGTGGAAAAAAAACAAACGTGGTATTTCATTTAAACGCTTCACAAAATTCCAGAAGGATAATTAGATTCTAGTTTTTTTCCTCTTTAGATAGTTTTCGATGTTAAAAACAATGTGTCGTAAAATATTCTGCATATTCTTTCGGTTCGAGGCGACGAGGCGTCAGTAAACATTGTCGCATAACTTTTTGCGGGGGCGAGACCGCTTTTGTATTTTAAAGCGAGCACGCGGTGGAAACGTATTAAAGCGATTATGTCGCACGCGAAGAGTATACATGAAGGAATGAGAAAACGAAGAGTTCCACTCACGACGACGTCAAAACTTGCCTTGTCGCTAACATAGCGGTAGGTCAGAAACGTCTGGTGTAAAGACGAGAAATAAAAAAAAACCAAAAAAAAAAAAAAAAAAAAAAAAAAAGAAGAAAGAGAGCTGTAATGTATTTTTCCTCACTTTTCTCTCTCTTCACACACATACACACGCGCGCGCGCGCGCAATATCGGACGATGTTTTAAAAATATTAAAGTTGAGCAATATTAGAGGTGATGATTTTATCGTCGAGAAAAGCTGACATCGAACTGGCTGAGAATCAGCGACGGACTCCGGCACGTACATCTCTTCACCGGAGCAACGGTAATCTCGGGACTTCGGACTTTAGAACTCGGGTATCCGTCTCACAGAGAGTCCGTTTTCAGGAGAATACTCGGGGCTTTGCTGAATACGCTCCTTAATGCGTCCTTAATGCGAGACTTGTACTCGAGTCCGGAAATTGACGCGTTTCGAGACTGCGACTACTTCGGAGAAGGTGGATATTTCTCTTTGTTTTCCCGCCCATATCGTTTTTTCTCCCCTCGCGTCGCGCCCGGCGACGACGAGCGGCGAAAACATATTAAAGCGTTTTTCCAACGCGCGGAAAGGCGCGAGTAACGCGAGTGGAAGGGTCACCCGAGGATGCAAAGAAGAGCGACGAGAGTCGCAAGCGAAGAAACGGAAGGAAAGGGTAGCAGTCAGTTGACGAAGTGAACGGGGTCGGCGGGAGAGAAGAGGTTTAGCTCCGGGAAAAATGGTCGCAGGACGGAGGAGAAAATAAAGGGGAAACGGTTCGTATGAAAATGTAATTAGGGGAAGCGTGGAAAAGCTCAGCTCATTGCGGCCTCTCCACCCTTTTATTCCGCCACCTTCTCTCGCTTTCTCCGTTTTCCACTTTCCCATTGCATTTCCGCCTTTCCATCTCCTCCGACGACCCCCTCCCTTTTCTCTCACTTTCGCGCGATTCCCCGTTGCCACCAATTATGATTCATTAATCGCGGTACGCGCGCCGATGGCAACATTTATCGACTCGCGAGAGTTTTACGATACAAGCAACGCGATGTTGATACGCTAGCGCGAGGATTGATGAATGTATGTTTTTTTTTTTCATAGTAAACATCGAACTTATAATACGACCTTTATTACAAGTTTTTCCAGTAATTATCAAGATCACTTGATCACTTACATTAAATGGCATAAAAAAATTTACTACGCATTATTACTCATACACACAAATTTAGTCAAGATCAGACGTACACTTGGAACAGATAACAAAGAATATTTGTTAAAAATTATTTTAATATAGCGAACTTTCATATATTTTTCTGCTTACAGAATTTCCTCTTTAATATGTGGAATATAGCAGAATAAAGTGTTTATTCCAAGTTTTATTTACTTTATAAAATATAACGCATACATTATAATAAAATGTACGTGAGCCACGCGCCACCAGAAAGAAATGCTGCACAAAGCAAAATGTTCCATTATAA